CCTATCGCAAAGAATCAACATCATGCTCGCTCTATCCTTTCGGGGGTAACTATAAGGCCACACCTGATGATTGAATTTTGCCGTAAACCACACTACAAACGCTAGGCAACCCCAAGAAAAGCCAAACCCCTCGCTGTTACTTATTGCAGGTAGTCGGTGAACCGAATTTCAGGACACTCAACTAGTGCGTTCAGACCTGCTTAACGTCAGAAATCTGTCGCTATGTTTGGGAACATCATAAGATAACGTCTGCGATGCGCCCTCGATGACTGATTACTAATCTGCTATAATGAAAACTGTTCTAGAAAAATCCGAGTACTGCTTGGGATTCGTTTGCATCGTGTTTTAATTTGAAGAAGGCGAGGTAGAATTTTTTGATGTCTATTCCGGCTTCACACGATCGTTGCGTAGTTGTAGCATAACGTTCAGACAGCACGGAAGTTCGACCGTTGCGAAAGACAGTGTCCTCACGGAGTGGGCGCAGCACTGGTAACATGCATTTGAAGCATGGCAGACTTGCGAAACATCTACCGCACCCCCCCTCCCTGACTCACCTGGCTCCGACGGTAAGATGATTGGAGGCGAGATCAGTCAATGCACGGAATGAGTATAAGGAATGCAGATACAATGAACTAACTGCCGAATCGATTGAGCCATTGTGGTGGACGTGGCTAGTGTGGGGGGGGGGGGGACGAGAGATGATGAAATCTCCAGACTAACAGGGCGCTACAAGGTTAATGAGAGGACCCGCATATTTGCAAATACCTCACTCCTTCTGACCAGCATCGGATCAATAGCTGGACCAGTGCCCACCAGGTGCTCCCCTCGCGCAACTTCTCGGCACCTTGTTTTCAATTCGCCAGACACACCTTAGTAGGTGTTCTGCCGACCGACCTACCAACTGTCCTTGTGTGCTTCCACGACACTTGCATCCGCAACATATCGAGGTAGAAATCTAATCGGCCCGAGCGGGGTAGGCATTCTGGAGCCTGAGAATAAAAGGTTGGCAACGGTGTGCGGACGAGTTAGTCGCCACTTCCTAACCCTTCTTTCCATCTAAGGAGAATGAAACTGTGACAGTTCTGTTTACTCCGGAAACCAAAAGTATGCCCTGCTATGATTACGGAAAACGAGATCGATTTCGCTAAAGAGTACCCTTATATGCGTCAGACATCGTGAGAAATTTGTCCAAGAATATCGCCAACCTACAGTAATTGACCCATCTCGTGAAATGTTTACCGACATCTATGAATTACGTGAGCCTAGTAGTCATCTTGTGGAATCTAGGTGGATTGCTTAGGAAATCCTGCTTGAGCAGTCAGCCTACTGTATCAGATTTGGTGGATCCCAGACATTGCAGTAGGCTGGGCGGCTAAACTTGACCCAAATGGGATTAAACTCGCGTCGCCCGATGGGGGCCTCGTAGCTCAGGTGGTTGGAGCGTTGGCTGTACTAAAGCCTTCCCCTTACTGTATGAGTTCGAATCCCACCGAGGCGACGGGTTTTTCACAGTTGAGTCAATACGATTTATCGATATTTTCAAAAACGTTTACAATCAGAAAAAATTACTTAAAGAGGATTTTAATATTAATTATCATGCGCCAGACTCCCAAAGTGTTTCAGTCACCCCCAGGACGCCGGAATTTTAAATGCGCTCCTTGCCGGCCCCCTGTGAAAACTACACTCGACTAAACGTGACAGCTTAAGTAGTATCCACTTTCCCAATTTATTTTAGATGCACTTAGAAATTAGGACATTTTGTAGGGATAGTATTCGAAAATATCCTTTGCGGAAAATCACGTCTTCTTCAAGATCTATACTCGAAAAGGGGTAATTTTGGGTTCTGGAAAAGTTTTTAATAATAGGACCTTTGAAAGCCCGTAAGGAGTCCATTCAAATAGCATCACAGCTGTCCGTTTATTAATGCTCCTTGTGAATTGCGCAACATAATCGTCACCCGTTGGGGTATTTTATGAGCGCTATGGCTATGTAGCCCCATCTGATGGACACAATACTGTTGGGGTTGGGGCTAGGGGTTAGGGTTAGCGGTTAGAGTTCGGGATCAGGGCTTTGGGTCAGGGCAACTGTTTCTCAACCACTCAAAGTACAGCCGCGCACTCCCAATAGCTTTTATTTTACATACAACTACTTGACCTGGTTGCCTGTGCGTTCCTTGGCCCCACCTGTAGCAGCCCCTATTACCACCGGTCTCGTATTACAGGTGGCTGAGGTTCGTTTACTTCAGGTGGGGCTACATAACCACATCTGACCGATATATTCATAGTGTCGCAGAGGAGTATATAATTTTTCCCGCACAGAAAGTATACAGCTTGTAGCCTGAAAACCCTAAATGCAGGTGCAATGGCAGGTCGGGCCAAGACTTATTGGGGAATCGAAACACCTTTTGAAGCCAAAACTAATCGCTTTATGAGTATGGAATTTGAAGAAGACGTGATTGGCTACCAAGTGGATACACGGAATGATATCTTTGTACGCATATTCTACAAAGTACATTCGAGTTTCTAAGTGCATCGAAAACCATTGAAAAAATGCGCAAAGCTTCAGTAGCCGCTTTTATTGAGCATAGTTTTTACAGGCGGCCGGCAAAAACGCACGTGAGATCCTGGTTGCCCTCTGTGAAAGTCTGCCCTATACCGTTTAGCTTTGGCAGTCACTGCTTTCGGTCATCATTACATTGTCTTGCCATCGGAGTAAGGTGGGTGAGGGTGCAAGAGTGCCTCACTATAAACTACTTTGCGAGCAAACCATCGGTGCAGCATCCATTCCGCCGGACACGCGGCGGATGTGGTCGCTTGCGACTTTCGCGTCGTCGGCCACCCACGGAATTGCCCGCAGCCTCCGAAGGCCATGTGCATAGACATGGTCGTTCTCGGTTCCAAGACAGCAGACTACCGCACAGTAACGAATCCAAATAATTGTTCGCCGAACTAGGACCTCAATTAAATCGACCTCCTTGTGGAATGCGTTGATTTATGTATTGTTCCAAAGCTCTCAGACCTTGCACCACCGTTTGTGTCACGTGTGGCCTCCTTTCCTTTCCCACCTGCCATGCCTTATAGGCTTTCAGATGTACATGAACACCCGTGACCTCGTGGACGGAACCACTGGGCCGACTGGTGTAGACGAGGTCTACTGCGTCCACGGTTCGAACGTCAGCACAGCTGCAGCCATGGTCTACGCCCCACCGAGCACCTTTGTTAGTCCCTTTCCCGACCAATCACCCACTATTCTATTCGACGACGGTGATGGGACCGTCAACGAGCGCAGCCTCGCTGTCTGCAGCCGGTGGAAAGATGTCCGCTACACTGTGCTGCCGAGCGCTGATCACCTCGGCATCGTCCGTGATCCGCGTTTTCTTCAGCAGCTTCTGGATATTGCCAATGCACGAGCGGGCAAACAACTGTATCGAAACTTCATTCCATGGGAGGAGCTCATTACCACCAGCAACCGGAAGTCTCCCTCTCCACCCGCTATTCCTATCAGCGCGCTTCCAATCTCTGTACTCTGATCAGTGACTGTTTTGTGAACGGCTTTTATCCAAGATCAATCTTTCTATGTGAATTGGCAAATATCTGCCCCTTATTGGCATTTGCGTACATGCACCCCCCCCCCTTTTTTTTAAAATCTGCGCTCTTACTCGCGAGTACCATAGAAACTGTAGTCGGAGACTTCTGCCTACGCACAGGGTGACCCCCTTTGTCCCCCTGCGTTTTATCTGCCACATCTGGCTTATGAACCTCGACATACACTGATTGACGTCGATAAAGAAATCCAGGCAACTCTCTGGTCGTCACCTCTCCCCGCCGCCCTTCCCAGTTTTTTTGGCCACTGTTTCAGATGAGTGATTAGTGGCTATGTGTAATTTTTTACTACTTTTTGTATAAATTCGATCGACTCACTCATGGAGAATATACCCAAAGACCTTACTGTATGGGAAGTTCCGTAATCTCTCACCATGGCCATGCATTCCCCTATTACTGGGCCATCTAGTGCTCATGCGGTGGAGCGCTAGACGATTGTTCGTCCGTCGCCCATGACGACGTCCACCGCATGCCGTGCGGAGTGTGCGTAACACCCATCGCAAGACGGTGTCAAGACGATCGGAGAGAGGCTCGGGCACGGTGATTGGCAAAGTCGACCAACGCGTCTACACATGCCACACACGACCTTCTTTTCGTGATATTTGTCAGGCCTGCACGGGGGCAGTTCAGTTCTTGTGAGTGTCATGAAGGCCCTGCTACCGGGCCTAGCCCGGTCCTCCAGCCATTATGCTACGCTTGCCGCGTAGACTGAGTTATATCATTAGTTGGCAGCTTCCCAAACCATGACTATAAGCGCTTCGTGATAGGCTCGTGCGCGTCGGACAGGCTAGACTGAGGAATGTTCGAATGTATCGTAAAACGGATTCCCCGTAAGGGAATGGTTTGTCTCCGGGGTAGACCTAGGATTACACAAGACTGGCTACTGCATTTACATAAGTAGGCGTTGTTCGATTGCGTTTTCTCCCATGTACCAACTACGCTTGGCCTGCGTGCTTCACAGGCCTGTGCTACTGACCTTGCAGAAAACCGCCCCAACAACCAGGCGCTGCATAAATGTCTATAAAGGCTCATTATCGTGCTTCTCAACCCTAACGTGTTAGATGTCACGCGAAAGTTTTGTCCGCAATCAGCGAGATTCCAAAGAGAGAATATTTTGAGGTCACTTTATACACATGGAAATTCTTAAATGTTAGGTGCCATGCGAAAGTTTTGTCCGCGATCAATGATATGCCAAAGGCTGAGTATTGTGACATTTCTTTATACATATGAAAATTCTCACAGCTGCGCGAATTGGCTCTTGTGCATCAGTTCCATAGGATTATCAATTGTTTGGCTGCTTCAAGGGATACACCTTCGCCATGTAGGACAGGAGGGTTTCCCGCGCTTGTTTTAGGCCGGCGGCGTTGAGTCCAAACCATAGACGATATTGTTTCTCGTCGATTTGGGTCCAGACAGCTCGGCCTGACACATGGCCGCCTTCATGTGATCTTCTTTTCAGGCGGTTCCAATACGCTTCGATTGCATTGGTATGGCGGCCTGTGGTTTTGTCTGCAAAATTTTGACGTTGGTTTAGGGTAATCTGCGTTGAAGAAGAAATTACTTTACGGGTTATTAATAAACCGATAGAAATAGCAGTTGTTATTTCTAACTATTGCAACTACCTTTCACCTACATATGCCGATGTTTATATCTACATGGAGAGACTGTCTTTATATGTTTTAATATTCAGGGTGGAAATCTGTCTATGATGCCGAAATCTTCGTTACTTACCATGACTTATTTCCATTGCATGTACCTATATATCTATTTGTAAGCCATCCCTGTTTTCATTATTCGACTTGTCTTTTCTTTTCAATCTTTTTCACTGTCACTTAGCTTATCTTTCCATACTTCTTTCTTGTTCTTTATTTTGCATTTTTAGTAAATTATTGACATTTATTGCGTCTCCTGGTATAGCTCTCGAACTGCGTTATTTGCACATCTAGTAACCCCCTGCGGCCAATTCCGATTGACTGCTATTTCCCATGGAACCTGAGCTACCCAGACTTCGGCTTTTGGTTAGTTTTTCGAAATCGTGCGCTTACTTACTGTTTACATTCTACGCACATTAGAAGGCTTTCGATGGTATTTTGCATTTTTTCTCACTATTTATTTCTCTATTCCCTTTTGTGTGCGTCCGAAAGCCCCACCCGTATAACCCTTATTACCACCATTCCCGTTAGACAGGGTCCTAAGGTTATCCGTTGCTGACCCCGAGGACAAACCACTCCCTAGTTCCGGCATCATTACCGCAATTGCTGGGGTCTCCTACACACTTTTTCAACAGCGTTTACTAACATTTTACGCTTTACATCACATTTGTTAGACACTGCGACCGAATAAAAGGGGGAATCGAGCACAAATTGTTAACGTTTTCACTTATTATGCAAGTACTTTATCCTACGTGTATTTACACACAGAAGACTTGTAGGATGCGTGAACAGAATCGGGCGTTATACTCCCATTGACAGTTCGACCATCGGTTTCGATGATGTCCATCGTGTGCCCCACAGTTGCAGCAGCAATGGGAGCAGGTACGGTGACTTACTCAGGGGTTTATAGTGCCAGTAGACTTGCGTAGCATCCACCTACACTATCTCCTCCTCCCTCGCCCGAGCCCGGTGTCAAGACAGAGTCAAGAAGACCGGAGACGAGGGAGGCCGCAGGTGGATGGCTCGGACGGATCCTCACCCTGGCGTTCCACCACACCCCCTGGTCCACACAACAAATGACCAGGATTTCAACCAACACTACAGAGATTTGGAGGCTGGCACGGCCGAAGCCGCACCTGGACGTGCCGCCAACGCCTGGATCGGATCCCACACTGTGATGGGAGTGCCATAAAGGCCACATTAAAAAGGAGCATTGCAGCCTGACTCTCGGACCGCCTCCAGTCAAGGAGGATGTCCAAGTTACCCCGTCAGTTGGCAGCCTTCCAAGCCACGGCTTTTAGCGCACCGTGATAGCTTCAAGCGCGTCAGATTGTTTATAGTGAGGAGAAAGTGCGCTGAGTCGTCGACCTCATTCTCCCTTCCCACTCCCACACCCCAGCCGCTGTCCGAGCCGGTCAGCAGACTGGAGTGGGGAATGGGCGCGGTGGCTGTCATGGTCGACTGACCATGACTGCGCGCGCCACGGCACGACCTGGCCCCCCATACACACAACACCAGGATTTCACACAACGGGGGTTGAACGGCGTGTCTATAACTTGCGTGAGAGTGCCGTGGAAGGTGCTGTTTTAGCCCGTCCCCAGCCCACCAGTCCGCCACTCCACACAACACACACACAACGCGACGAACTGTGTGAACCGAGAGCAGGCGTCAATCAGCAACCTTCCTATCCACGACGCTTGACGTGTCGGGATAGTCTCGTACTCAAGATGCGGAATTCCCACTTGCGTGGGAGGTGGCAGTTGGGTGCATGAGGTGTGTGAGTGTTGATTTCTGGTGGGGTGATGGTGGTGGCGGAGGTAGGGAGTAAGTGAATGTGTGGTGTCACCGGCGGTTGTCTACCGCAGGTCGTCGTGGATGCGCATGTGGCCGAATAGGCCCATGCGATGCCTGAAAGTGCGAGGGCAGTTGAGACGAGCTTGGTGGGTATAGGTGGGTGCTCCAGACACTGGTTCGCCAGTCTCTGTGCGATGGATTCGCAAGTGACCGACCAGGCCGATGCGTGAGGTGAATGTGCGTGGACAGTGTGGGCATGAGAAGTCGGCGGCGTCAATGTTAGCTACGGAGGAGGCGGTGATGGTGGTGGTGATGGGCGCGCAGGGCGATGGAGCGAGGGTGGAAGTGTGCATGGTGGATGTGGTGGGTGTGCCGGGAGTGCGGTGAAGGCCGCTCTCGTGGATGCGCATGTGGCCGAAAAGGCCCATGCGATGCCTGAAGGTGGGAGGGCAGTGTGGGTAGTGGAGGCGAGTGCGTTGGGTGTAGGTTGGTGCTTCAGGCACTGGTTCGCCAGTCTCTGTGCGATGGATTCGCAAGTGATCGACCAGGTCGATGTGTGAGGTGAAGGTGCGGTCGCAGTGAGGGCAGGTGTAGTCCTGATCCTCATCGCTGGAGTCGGGGGAGGTGGTGGTAGTGTCGCTTGTTGCGCGCGGGACAGTCGCCTGAGCAGCCGTCGTTGGAGCAGTGGGCGAGGAGGAGGAGGAGGAGGACGGCTATTGGTGCGTTCCGAGAGGTACAGTTGATCCGAAGATGTCCAACAAGTCCGATTCGAGCCCGCAATGTCCGTTGACATCGAGGACACGTTGGAAGCGGTTGTGCGTCGGCGTTGCGTACTGGGCGAAGTTGTGATTTGCGGGCTTCGCGTTTCGCTTTGGCGGCAGCGATGCGGTTGGCTTCGTAGATCGCAGCGCCTGTCTTTACTGTCCACCTACAGGTCGGTCGATCGAGTGCGAGCTCCTCCCAGTTGGTGGGGTTGATTTGCAGGCGTTTCATGGAGGAATTCAGGGCATCCTTGTAACGGCGAATTTGGCCTCCTTGACGGCGAGAACCCGTCGCGACGTCTCCGTAGAAGAGTCGTTTGGGTAGTCGCTCGTCGTCCATGCGCACCAGGTGGCCGCTCCAGCGCAGCTGCATTTGTCTCAGAATGGCGTAGATGCTGAGGATTCCCGTCCGTTCCAACACATCAGTTTCGGGAATTCGATCCTGCCAGTTCACACTCAGGATGCGAAAAGACAACAGAGGTGGAAGTGGTTCAGACGGCGTGCCTGCTTTGCGTACACCGTCCAAGTCTCCGCTCCATACAGTAGTGTCAGCAGGATGACGGCCTTGAACATCTTCAGCTTCGTGCTCAGCTGAAGACCGTGGCGATTCCAAACTGTACTTTGGAGGCGACCGAAGGCTTGACTGGCTTTCGAGATCCTGTTGGCGACTTCGTCATCGATCTTGGTGTTGCGGGAGAGGGTACTGCCCAGGTACGGGAAGTTCTCCACCACTTAAAGTTGGGTTCCGTTCACGCTGATTTGCGGCGGTGCGTTGGGGACTGTGGCTGAGTTGGGTGGCGGTTGGTGCATCACCACCGTCTTCTGCGTGTTAATGACCAGACCGAAGTTCTCGCAGGCGGCGGAGAACAGGTCCATGCTCCGTTGCATCTCCTCTTCCGAGGTGGTGTTGAGGGCGCAGTCGTCGGCGAAGAGGAGTTCGTGAACGGTGGTTTTGGATACGCGCGACTGGAAGTGCATCCGCCGTTGATTCAGGAGGTGACCGTCCGTCCTGTAGGCGATGCGGATCCCGGGCGTTCGTCCCGGTAGGCGTCCATCAGCATGGCAGAGAACATAAGACTGAAGAGGGTGGGCGCCAGTACGCAGCCCTGTTCACTCCATTGGTCACTGCGAATGCCTCTGAGACAGCTCCGTTGTCCGTGACTCGCGCCATCATACCGTCGTGCAGCTGACGCACCATCTGAATGAATCGCTCCGGACAGCCGAATTTCTGCATGATCTTCCACAGTCCTTCACGATTCACCGTGTCGAAGGCTTTCGTCAGGTCCACGAAGGTAGAGTACAGGTGGGTCCGCATCTCCTGGCACTTCTCCTGAAGTTGACGGGCTGCGAAGATCATATCCGTGGTCCCACGATGACGACGGAAGCCGCATTGGCTTTCCGGCAGAAGGCCTTGTTCCAGATGGTTGTTGAGGCGGTTGAGAAGGATGCGGGCGAAGATCTTCCCAGCGATGTTCAGTAGGGAGATGCCGCGGTGATTGTCGCAGACTTGGCGATTCCCTTTGCGCTTGTAGAGATGCACGATGGTTGCGTCTTTGAAATCTTGCGGGACTTCACCTTGACGCCACATCTCCTGGAAGAGCGCAGTCAGGTGATCCATCAGTTGGGGACCTCCGTGCTTGTAGACCTCAGCACGGATTGCGTCCGATCCGGGTGCTTTCCCGCTGGAGAGTTGCTGCACGACCTTGATGGTCTCCTGGGGAGATGGCGGGAGGTCGAGGTCCACGTCGGTCTCCACTTGCGGCAAACGCTCGATGGCGACATCAGAGATGACGGAGGGGCGGTTGAGGACGCCTCGGAAATGCTCGGCCCATCGCTGTAGGATTTGCGTCTTCTCAGTCAGGAGAGTGTTGCCGTCGGCGCTGAGGAGAGGAGCGATGCCCTTCCTCGGCGGACCGTAGACAGCTTTGATCGTACAGAAGAAGTTCTTCCATTCGTTGCGGTCCGCATACCCTTGGATCTCCTCAGCTTTGCGAGCAGTCCAGGCGTCCTGCGGTTTTTAGAGCAAAATCATCTTCTGTGCGATGCACAGCACGGTTTCCGCAGAGGGAGGTCCTGCTTAACCAATCTACTCTACTGTCTTGAACAGTGGACCCGAGCGATTGATGAAGGAAACGTTGTGCATGTGGCCTA